ATATCATAGCTGTGGATTTTTGTAGATAACAACCTGATACCTAACACTGGACCGTTTAGCGAAGTAGTTGATTGTAAACATCCTTGAAATAAAGTAGGGCTGATACTTGGGAGGAGTTTATGTTCGTTCATTGAGGAGGTCATTGCTCACATGTCCATCTGTATAGGACGTTTTCAACTTTTTTACAGTATCAGTCAATGTTTAAAAGTTATCACAGGAGAAATTTATCTTCTATTAATGTGTGATGTATAAACCTTATAATCAGGAAGTAACATTTAAAGAAAATGTCTCATGTTGCAGTTTGACTTCCTTTTATTTTGCCTTTAAAGTATACAAAGGACAAATTGGTCTTGTCTTCAAATGATTATTTACACATTAACAGCATCTAATTTTTCATAGATGATCTAATTCCTTCACATACTTACTTCACATGTTTTGCCACATCTAAATCATAATTTCTGTTCTTTTGGATGGGCACTCCCTTCCTGGAGATGGTAGAGTTTCGGTTCCCTGTGGGTTTGTCTGCCGTTCACAGGAGTGAAATCATGGTGTGGGAAAGTTGGGAAAAACCAGATTTGAGCCTGAAAGAGACAGGGCTCAGGTGCTCTTGCGAGCAATGAGAATTTTTGTGGGGAATGTCAATACTGTGTCTTCAGCATCCTGACACTCAATAACTTGTAGCAATTTATGTCATTTGATAACCTTTTTGCCTTGGATGGCTTTAGTAATCAATTTCAGGATGGTTTTTAGTGGGGAAAGGACATTAATGTGTAGCAGAACCAACTTCACCATATTCTGGGAGTTGGTGGAATAGTAATATCTAGAAACATTTGTGGGCATTGGCCACTATATAATTAAAAACAAATTGCTTTGCCAAACAATTGTGTCTTCTAGTAAAGTGATGGGTTTTAGATGGCATTTCATTACTTTAAAGTCTCATTTTAAAACAGCCAGCTTCTATTTCTGGCAATATACAGCGTCAGCAATGCATTCTGATATAGTTCCAACTAAACATTTATATGTATTATGTCAAGTATATATATATATATGTGTATACACACACACACACACACACACACACACACACACACACACACAAAGTACTGGGCCTGGTGGGACACACCTATAGTCCTAACTATTTGGGATGCTGAGATGGGAAGATCACTTGAGTTTAGAAGTTTGTCAGCAGCCTGAGCAACAAAGTGAGACCCCATGTCAGAAAACAATAGCAACAACTACATCCATCTGTGTATCTTTGCATACAAACATACATACACACATAGCTAGTTATACAACTATCTAAAACATATGTTTTCAATAGCTTAGTTGGTAAGAGAGTAAAGGATTTTTTCTAAGTCCAAAGGTAGTTAATGTTTCAGATCCAATATGTACCCTAAAAGTAACTGCCAGCTCCTGGAAACCTAGAGCCCAATGTGGCAGGCTGTGACCATGGGGCAGAGGAGAGTAGGAAAACAGGTAGGAGGCACACGGACCATGTAAGTACTCCCATTGGGAACTATTGAGAAGAATTATTACCACAAGGCCCACTCTCTGGAGTAGGGCTGAATTCATGCTATGTCTATGGTTTAAAAAAGGAGAGGCCAGAGTTCAGAGTGGACTGATAGTGCACACAGCCGAAGTGAACACAGATCTCCTCTAGAAGAATGCTTTTTAAATCAAGGTTGGCAATTCCCCACAGATAGAATCCCAAAGACATGAGCTCACATTCTAAGTGAGAGTCAGCAAATACAAGTTGACTAACTCTCAAAGACTGCAGATAGTAGAATTACTATGTAGAATGTACTGTATAGAGTTAAATAAGAGGAGATTGAAAATACAGTACTGGTTGAAGTGAATCAAAATTGTCCAAACAGACTTGAAAGGAGCTAAATGGGTCTATAAATGATACATATTTTCTAATTTGAAATTTTAAATGTAAAAGATTAAGAGGATAAGATACAGTGAAAGGGAGGACTAAAATGGAAGACAGACCTTAAGAGACCAAATTTAGAAATACAGAAGAAAGGATAAGATGGGGTCGAGGGGGGGGGTGTCGGTAAGGATGAAAATGTTTCTTACGTGGTCAGTCAGAATCTCACAAAAAGGAGGACAGAGGATGGATAGTATTTAAAGGTCATTCCAAACTTTGGGAAGTATATAAACCCACAAATACAGGAAGTCAGCAAATAGAAGCCAGGTAAGTAAAAGGTTTCTACTGGATTCAAAATAGAAAAACTGCAGAGTATCGAAGATTTGGGGAAAGGGAAAGCAATCAAAGAGAAAAAAACAGATAATCCATATACACACACACACATACACACACATATACACATATACACAAATTTTTTTGAGACAGGGCCTTGCTATATAGTCCAGGCTGGCCTTGAACTCGCAGCACTCCTGCCTCAGCCTCCTGAGTGCTGGATTACAGGTGTGTGCCACTGTACCTGTAAGAGCAAAAGTAGAAGCCATAGATAGTGCATGATATTTTCAAAGTGATGAGTAAAAATCATCAACCTAGAATTCTGTACTTAGGAAAACTTTTGCTCAAGATTAAATGTAAAATAAAGATACTTCCCAACCAAAAGACAAGCAAAACGTGCAACTGTTCAGTGCTTTTTAACTTTGGAGAATGGAGGGGAGGGAAGGAAGAAAGTCTGGTGAGGGAAGGGCAAAGGGATGGTTAGCTGGATCGCTAACTCCTTATGAGCCCCAAATACTAAGTCAAGAAGTGTTTTATATTAGTTGATTTCTGGTGACTGATCAAGGCTGGATTTGATTGTCTTTAAGTTTATAAGGACAAATATGGATTAGACACTGGCATTCAGAGAGGAAGGATGCTGAAGCAAGGAGTGGCAATCATCCTGGGGTGGGTGTGGGTGGATGGCTGTGGACTCCCTGAAAGCTGTAATCTTGAGTTTAATCACCTTTCCTAGGAGAAAGGGGTGTCCCAACTGACACATGTAAGGTAAAGAAATCTGTAAGTTGACATTTATAATAGAAGCCCATTCATAGTAAGTTACAAAGTCAAGACTGACGCACTTGCTGTTTCCTGGTTGCTTACTGTTGATAACAGACAGTTATAACAGTGGAGGTCACTATGATGAAAACAGTTTGCAGTTGGACTTTTATTAAACTACCCATACAAGTATTTAGTTCATTTGTGAATTGTGGATAAGATACCTGTGGGAGCTTATGTTCCAGAGACTCCAGATGGACTGGGGCATGGCTCAAGTGGTAGAGCACCTGCCCAGCAAGCAGTGAGTTTAATCCCCCCTTTTACTCCCCCAAACTCCAATAGCGTTAGATTTGTGTGGAATAGCAGTAATTTGAATTTATATTTTTGTGCTTTATTCTGTTAATTTTCTTTTTAATAGAAGCAATTCATATTACCATGATCTGTTTTGATAAGTTACTGTAGGTAAAGACTTAGAAACTGAGATGAAATAGTTACCCCCTTGATTTTCAATCCCTGTCTATTGAAGTCATAGGCACCTTCTTTTCTGATTCTGTACTGAATAAAAATATGTTTATGTATTTACAATGAAAAGATTGAAGTGATTTTGTTTTAATCTAATGAAATCACTCTGTGGCAGATTGAGAGCTGTTTAAAACTATTACCTGAGTTTACAGTTTATGATCTTATGGTACACGGTATGTAAGATGTAGTGAAACGAAATGGCTTGCTTTAAGAATATTTCTATGCTCATGGTTCTGTTGGCTTGATTTGTTTTAACAGTCCCTGAAATTGGCTCTTAATTTGTAGGTTCTTCAGAATAATTTACTGAAGCTAACTGTGAAGTGTAGAGAACGCTGCTCTAATTATCTGATTGAAAATAAGGATTTGTGTTGAGTCATTCTCTGTGGCCAAACACAGATTAAAGCCAGAATTAATTCCTGGGTAGTTAGGAAACTAGAAGATTCTCTTTCTTAGGAATGTATCTGATTACAAAAAAGATGATTTAAAAAGTCAGCATATTTAAATAATCTTTACTCTCTCACCTACCCTCAGTTGCTACTTATATACATGACTTTTTTTTTTTTTTTTTAGGAGTTGTTTCTCTTCTCTGAATCCAGGAACCAATATTGACTGCTTTGAATAAGGCAGGGTATAATAAGTACAATCAATACCTCTGTTTCTGTTCTTGTGTGGGGAAAGCAGTCAGGAGAAACATTCCAGTGATTTACATGAGTGAGTGCTTCCCACACACTCTCACCACACTAACGTTCTCGCCTCTTCCACAGTAGTGGCCCATTCTGTGTAAGCAGAACTTGGATAGTGAGCTTTATTTTTCCTTCTCAGAAGTGCTGTAAAATTCAGTTTTGCAATTACTCTGTCATTTTTAGGTGAGAAGATGATACTCAGTTTATGGCTTATACTATTGAGAAGAGCACAAGTGAAAATTGAATGTCAAACAAAAGTACTTGATCTGGTGGGAAAGACAAGACACATGGGCATTTAAAACAAAATACTAATACAATGGAAAAAGATGATCAAGTTTTGAGTGTTTCGAAGGAGGTTATTATGTTATTCAGGGGCAAATCTTGCTAGTAGAAAATAAAACTTAAGTCATGGTCACATGAGCTTTTATGGAATAGTTAAGGCCATTTATGCCAGTTATGGCTTGTCAAGTTTTAGCCCTCTGACATCTGTAGAAATGCTTGGCAAGTTTGTTCATGACTCATCTCCCATCCTGAGAGTTTCAGTAAAATGAGTGTGTAGGCATCCGACCTTAGACGCTCCTTGGACTCCTTAAAGTTCCTGTGATAACTGGCCTCACCCCATCCTTCTAACTCCTAAGGTGAAAGAGCTGTGTGCTCTCTGAAGCCAAGATTTCTGCAATGAAGAGCAGTCTAGGCCTGGGGTGTGACTCAATGGTAGTGCGCTTTTCAAGCCTGTGCAAGGCCCTGGATTGATCCCTTAGCTCCAAGGGGGACAGCAGTAGAGTAATGGTCTCCTAGGAGAAAAAAAAATGATATTTCTCTTCTTTCTTTTCTAGATTGTCCTTCTACTCAGGCCACTCTTCGTTCTCCATGTATTGCATGCTGTTCGTGGCAGTAAGTACTTTGTGTTCACAGAGGACTGGGGTATGTACTGCATGGGTGGCAGCTCTGCAGAGGTGTCTTCTCCCATGCTGCACAGACTTGCAGCACAGCTCTTAAGACTCCTGCTAAGAATGTGCACTCTTAATTTGGGAGATTTCTAGAGCCTTCAGATGGCTTCTGTGCCCCAGGATCGGCCACTACTAAGGTTTTGTTTTCACTTTCTGAAACATTTCCCAGACTGCTTTCCATGGGACTAGTGTTTTCCTCTTCTGGGAGCTGTCATCTGTAGAATTTCTAGGGCCAGGTCAGATCGCTGGCCATTTGCATCTGTATTATCCCAGGTTCCCAGGAGGAGTTAGACAAGATTTGCACCCACATTTTGCTTATCAAACCAGAGATGAATAGGTAGTTTTTGAGAGTAACTAACAGAAGACCACATTTTAGGACACACAACAGGGAATCTTTAAAGGTCATTTTTAAATGATTTTAATTTTTTATAATGTTCTCTATTTACGTATTACTTACATTCTGTGTATTACCGTATGGTTTATTACCAACATTTGAAGGGAGAGGAGAGAGAATTCTGTATCTTAACAGATCAACTCTAATTTTTGTGTCTTAATTTTCCTTATAAGTAGATTTTTATATAGTTGTATTTCATGTACAATGGCAGATTCCTATTTTTTTCCTCTTATCACATTAAGTGCTGTATGAATATTGAAGGGTTAGACTAAAAATCATAAGTAATATTAAGGGTAGACTAGTGAGGGTTAATTTGGTCTCAAAGAGAATTTAAAATGAACTTTACTAGAATCATCTATCATTTGAAAAACCAAATTCCCAAAGTTAAAACAGTGTAAAAATTGCAGATGTTACATAAAATTCATATCCCCAACTTTAAGCCAATGCAAGCTAATTTTTGACTTCCTCAACATTTCTGGAAATTGCAGGTCTTTCATGTTACATTAGTTTAGTTTGTGAGGAAGCAGCCATGCAGACTTGTAGAGTTTGGGGCTTCTCTTTTAACACAGATATCCAAATGTTTCTGTAGATGTGCCATGGGAAATGTGACTTATTTTAAGGCCGTTAACAGCAAATACTGTTCTAACATCCTGCTATCTTAAGAAAAATTAGCTTTCTTTAAAGAAGGGAGCATCCTAGTTTTTAATTTTAAAATAGGGCACTAGGGAAGAAAGGGAAGGCAGGAGAATGGCAAGAACCTTCAGTGTCCTGAGAACTTTCCCCAAAGCACAAGTCTGTTACTGTACTGAGTGGTTTCTTTGGTTTGCTTATTTGTTTTTGGCACAACTGGAGTTTGAACTTCGGCCTTATACTTGATAGGCAGGTGTTTTACCACTTGAACCACACCCCCAGTTCTTTTGGCTTTAATTATTTTTCACATAGGGTTTCATGCTTTTGCCCAGGCTAGTCTCTGACCATGATCCTCCTATCTGTGCCTCCCCCATAGGTGGAATTACAGATGGCCAGTCTCACTCATGTGTAGCCAGACCCACCAGGGCTTATGGTTCATTATTCCCTCACCTGTGCATGTCTTCTTTATAAGAGACCTAGGAATCTTTGTTTTGGTTAATATTGATGATTTGCTTTTTACATTATTTAAAATTTTTACTTTCTCATAATTTGCATGAAGAAATAAATGAGTAATTACCACCATTTTACTGATGGAGAGTAGAAGCCTTTGGGAGGGAACTACTAAGGTCTGTGAGCTCTCCAGGCATCTCTTGACAATCAGGAGCCCTTGCTTTATTAAGAAGCCACACTGATGAAATGTAGGGGATAGAATGGCTTTAAGAGGGCCTGGTTGCAGGCCTGCTTTGTGGATATGCAGGAAGAATCCCATGAGGAGGCAACTTAGGGACATGCACACAGGGAAAATTACCTCAACCACAATGTAGTAATTGGGTCAGTGTGAGCCACTTAGATGTAATTTATGAGAAAAAAGTGTGGATGCATAGGTTTGTTGTAGACCAAGGGCTTTCTGGAGAAGCATAATCACGTACTAGCTTTTTACTGACTCTAAGCTGTAGAAATATTTACTTGATTGGGAGTTAGCCCCAGCTTTGATTTCAGTCCTGAATATACAGATGTCTCCTTGCTTTCCTGCTTTCCTATTTATATGCAGCAATGAACCTTCCCTCCCCCAGATTCCTTAAGGCAGATTCCTTGTTTCTCTGGGCATCTTGACATCATGGTCAGTCCCAGACTTGGGTGGAGATGTACAGTCATTTAAATCCTGAAGAATTCTTGATACCTAGAAATTAACTTACAGTGAAAAATGTCTCTTCAAACCAACCCACTGCTTATTGTTCTGCTCTGACAGGTAGTCCAGCTCCAGACACAGTGCTAGGGAGTCAACACCAGTGGAAATGCCTGGGCCACAGGAAACTCAGGGCAAAGCCACTTTGCACACAGCCAGTTTAAGTGACTATTCAGAAGAATAGTCATGGCATAGGGCAGGGTATACTCACTGGTATACTGGAAAGGATTTTTCCTCTTACCATCCTGTTGAGGCTACAACCCCAGATTGCTTACATGACTGCCTGTCACAAAGTCCCCCTCACTGTGCTTCAGGCTCTTTTCCTCCTGGCCACAAACTACCTCTTACCCAGGTTAGACAGTGCCAGATCTCCTGTCCCCCACTCCCCACCAGTATCATGTGGTATTGCTGATACTTCATGAAGATGTTTCTGAAATGGGGGAAGGATGGCTGAGCACTGGACAGATAATGAACAACTCATGGCCCTTAGACCACATGCATCCTGCTTGGGGTGGGATTCAAGATACAAACGTCAGAAATCCATGACTGCCAAAGACAGTGAAATGGAAGCTCAGAGGCTGAGGCCTGCTTTACAGTGTGCTGACCAGATCTGTGTCAGATGTAGGTGGAACAATCGGTTTAGTTTGCTAGATTTGGTCTCAGAAGCAGTGTTTCAGAATAAGTAGACCAAGGTGTATTTTGTGTTGAGTGTGATGTAAGTACAGTTCAGAAGTCAGCAGTTTTTTTCAGTAAAAGGTTAGACATCAGATATTTAGGCTTTGTAGATTATATGTTCTTCCATATTTTAAACACACACACAGGAAAGCTGGGGATCTAATCCTGGGCCTCACATATACCAGGCAAAATGCTTTATGACTGAACTACATCCCAAGCCCCCAAATAACTTTTTTTTCCTTTGTAGTTCATTGATTTTTTAAGTTTATTAATTTATTCATATGTGCATACATTGTTTGGGCCATATTCCTCCCCACCCCCCTTGCTTCTAGGCAGAAACTGTTCTGCCCTTTTCTCCAATTTTGTTGAAGACATAAGCAATAATAAGACAAAGCGTTTTGCTAGTTGAGGTAAGGACAGCTATACAGAGAGATTCCTAGCTTTGCTTCCATGCAAAAGTATATTACAACCTGAATTGATTCACCTCTACCTGACCTTTTCACTAGTTCCCGATCACCTTCCCATATTGACCTCTGTCGCTTTACGACATTACGGTATTAGCTCCTCTGCAGTGGGCACATCAAACACTTTCAAGTTTTGGGTTTCTTACCTATCCCCATTCCTCCTGTATGTGCTTTCCCCTTGTCATGTGACCCAAGTCCAACAACATTGCTGCATTTGGCCTGGATCTAAAGTCCACATATGAGGGAGAACATAGATTTTTGGTATTCTGAGCTTGGCTAACCTCGCTCAGAATGATGTTCTTCAGTTTACTTGCAAATGACAAGTCAGATTTCATGCTTCTTCATGGCTGAGTAAAACTCCATTGTGTATAAGTACCACTTTTTTTTTTTAATACATTTGTCTGTAGTGGGGCATCTTGGCTGTTTCCATAACTTGGCTATTGTGAATAGTGCTGCAATAAACATGGGTGTGCAGGTGCCTCTGGAGTAACCTGAGTTGCATTCCTTTGGGTATATCCCTAGGCGTGGGATTGCTGGATCATATGGCAGATCTATGTTTATATTTTTAAGAAGCCTCCATATTTTCTTCCAGATTGGTTGCACTAGCTTACATTCCCACCAGCAGTGTACGAGGGTTCCTTTTTCCCCACGTCCTTGTCAATACCTGTTGTTGGTGGTGTTTTGGATGATGGCTATTCTAACAGGGGTGAGGTGGAATCTTAGTGTGGTTTTAATTTGCATTTCTTTTATGGCTAGGGATGGTGAGCATTTTTTCATGTGTTTTTTGGCCATTTGAATTTCTTCTTTTGAGAAAGTTCTGTTTAGTTCAGTTGCCCATTTCTTTATTGGTTCATTGATTTTGGGAGAGTTTAGTTTTTTGTATATTCTGTATATTCTGGCTATCAGTCCTTTGTCTGATGTATAGCTGGCAAATATTTGCTCCCACTCTGTGGGTGGTCTCTTCAGTTCAGAGACCATTTCTTTTGTGCAGAAGCCTTTTAATTTCATGTAATCCTATTTGTCCATCCTTTCTCTTAGTTGCTGAGCTACTGGGGTTGTATTGAGGAAGTCCTTACCTATACCTATTACTTCCAGGGTATTCCCTGCTCTTTCCTGAACTAACTTCAGAGTTTTGGGTCTGATATTAAGGTCCTTGATCCATTTTGAGTTGATACTAGTACAGGGTGATAAATACGGATCTACTTTCAGTTTTTTTACAGGCAGATAACCACTTTTCCAAGCAACATTTGTTGAAGATGCTGTCTTTTCTCCATGATACATTTTTGGCGCCTTTGTCAAAAAGAAGGTGGGCATAGCTGTGTGGATTCATATCCGGGTCCTCTCTTCCGGGTCCTCTGTTCCACTGGTCTTCATGTCTGTCTTTGTGCCAGTACCATGCTATTTTTATTGCTATTGCTTTTTAATATAGTTTGAAGTTGGGAATTGTGATACCGCCAGCATTGCTGTTTTTGCTGAGTATTGCCTTGACTGTGTTTCCCCTTTTATTAGTGTGGAGTGTCCTTCTTTATCTGGTTGATCAATGCAAGTTTGAAGTCTGCTTTGTTCAAGATAAGTATTGCTACTCCTGCCTGTTT